CCAACTGGGCTCGGCATTGCGGTGCGCGGAATGCGGCCAGCCGCACGACGCCGAGCAGCTGCGTGAGGTGACCACGCGCATGAGCCAGACATATGACGTGAATGAATTTTAAAGCAAAGCAAAGGATGCCGATCATCTCAACCGAAGTTCAACCAATCCTACTAACCTAAAGTCAACACTATGAGCTAGCTAGTGGAGCAATCGCCATGACCCGAGAGCAACCAGAGAGGGAGATAAAAGGATGCCAACTTGGGTTCGTCGCTGGAGTGCCGGTTCACGAAGCAGTGCCAACAACATAGTTAACAACACGTTCCAATAAAGTTTGGGCAATTTTTATGAGAGCAACGTGACATCAACACAACTTCGACCTAAGCCATGCTCAAGCACTCGATTTGATGCAATCAACAATACCAAAACATATAGCTAGTGTTTAAACATTTTTGTTAGAAATTAAATATCAAAATAGCATTGTCTTACTACTTTTCCATACTTAGAGAAGTTAAGGATTCAATTCAAACTAACAGCCATTAACACTTTTGTTATAATTTTTAAAAGGCCTAAACCCTATTAACTGCTACCAACAAGTATTTCATGCGATAGTCCATACCTTATACTAACCCATAGGAGCAAAATATTTAAGCACCATTTAACTATTTTGCTCAATATAATTCACCAAAAGTGGTATTTTACACAATAGTTAAGTGTTTGTCGACTTAACGAAAAGAACTTATCTTAACGCCGAATTTGATTTTTGAGCTCCCAAAACACTAGTTGACAACATCTATTTTTCAAAAGTTAAAGTTGCATTTTTATCTACTAAACTTGTACTTCAATTTTTATTCAAGTACTAAATACAAGTTATGTTTGATCCTTGTTCCTAGAAATTATTTTTCGCCTCACGTGCGTTTTAAATTTTTAAAACCCGAAAACTTGTTAGGTTAATCCTTCTCGGACCTAAATCTCGGTGCTAAGCAAGCTCGTAACACCATGGGTGTTACATACACGAAATTTAATGTCTCAACGATGGCAGTGCATGACGCGGTGGAGAGCAGGAGGAGGCGTCGGGCGTGGTGGAGGGCCAGCGGGACGGGAGGTGCCGGGAACGCCAACGCAGCGGCTTGGCGGACGTGGAGGACGGGAGGCAAGAGGCCGCGCTGGCACGGCAGGCTTGGCGGGCGAGGCGGGCGGCGGCCGTGATGGGGAGGCCGGGTCGAGCGGGCGGCGCGCGCTTATGGGGACGGGGGCCGGCCGCCGAAAAGGCTGGCGCCTTCGGGATGGGGGCGCTGGTGTTGGGCGCGGGCCTGGCTAGGGGAGGGGCAGGCGGCGAGCCGATGGGCGGGACGGGGCGCACGGCCGGCCGGGAGCAGCAAAGGTGGTCGGGCGGGGTGTGGTGAGGAGGAGCGACACCGGTGGGGAGGCGTCGGGCGAGAGAGAGAGAGAGAGAGAGGAAGAGAGAAAAAAGAAGGAAGGAAGAAAGAAATAGACCCACCTGTAAGGCTAGCTCGGCGTCAAGACCTTTGGCGCCAAGCTCGGCGTCAAGTTCTTCGACCCCAAGCTCAGCGTCAAGATCCACGGTGCCAAGCTGGTTGTCATGTCACCGCCAGGTCTTCTTTGATGCCGACGTGGCCCCTAGACCTAGACGTCAAAAACTATGGCGTCGAGACGTATAAGCTCGGCTTTAATTACTCCGGTGCCGAGGTGATGATCTAAATTTTGAAAAGCATACCTCCATAAAAATGTATTTGTGAAAAAAATTCAAAAAAATGGCTAAAAAAAAAAAAAAAATCGGGGTGGACGAAGGGCGTGTTTGGCGGGGCTTTTTGCGGCTCCGGCTCCTTCAACACCTTGACTGTAGTAACACTGTATATAGGAGTTGTTTTTCTCTCTCCTTTCAAAATAAATTAGGAGCCTAAAAAACCACGAATCGTGGCTCCTCTGGCTCATGCTCCGGCCCTCTGGTACTGTAGCACGAAGCCGGAGCCTCGCCAAACACGCCCGAAGCGTGAAGTTACGAAGTAACAGAAACAGAAACAGAGCGAGGGGCCATTCAGCAGCTCGCACCTCTGCTGTCTGACCAAAGTAAGCACAAAAATGGGCTGTAGTTGGGCCACATGATGCTTTGTCAGAAATAAATGGGCTATATACGTATGCCTTCTCGGGCCCTTCTGTTGATGTGATGTGCTTATCGATCATCACCTTCCCAAAATCAGTTTGTCCCGCAGAATGAAAACACTTGTCCGGCTGTTTCAGCTGCCATGAGACCAAATAAAAGGCTTAAAGTAAGCCCAGCATCACATTTGAAGGAATAAAGCAACGATATCGAGTACTACCTCTGTTCCAAATCACAAAGTCATTCTGTTTATACATAGATTTTACAATATATTTAGAGATAAGACATAATATGTAACAAAAGCTATGTCCTAAATAAACCAAAACAACTTTCAATTTAGAAGGGTGGGAGCAGCAATTAGTATTATCTTGTGTCTTATTACACCCCTGGTATAAGGCACATGCTAATGTACTTACCAATGTTTTCAAGTCGTCCAGTCAAACCCTAGTCACCATGGGACCGACCAGAAGACTAATCACGATTAGTCGTCGATCATGCCGATTAGTCGAGCCTAGTCGACCCCTGGTCGTCCTATATATCAGGACATATATACCTACTATATATATACCTATATATACTATATAGTATACACAATAAAGCAAGCATCAAGACTATATTAGTGTTTAGCTGGTGACTTACTTGTGGGAGTTGTTTTCTTCTCTTTTCTACCACGTCCAGAGGTCCATATTCCTGTCCCAAACTCCATTTCTTTGCCGACTTGCTGCTGGAAACCTAAAATATCATAGAAGATCATAATTAGCAACACTAATGTAGTCTTGATCTTGACACAGCTCAATAGCAAAGATCTTTGCATTAGCAATCATCTTCTTTGTAGTAGCAAATAACTAGCATTTCATGATTAGCACATAGCGACCACCAATTGACATATTACATAACCAAACAAGTTCAATACACATAAGCTAAAGTGTTCAACACAGAGTCACAAACATTGACATTTAACAGTCCAACAAAAGTAGGCAACTAGCCATCTAATTAAGCAAATCAACATTAAAATTGAAGTCTCCATCTCCATCTCTAGTTGGTCCATCTCCGGTTCAGGTTGGTGCAGATTCTTCATCCTCCTCCATTGCTATTCTTTGAATCTACATGTTGATCTTGGTCTTCATCATCAACTTCATCAATATCTTGAGTCACTTTGTGTTCCTTGGGACTTCTGTTCCTAGCATAATATATCGCCTCACAGGCAAAAAAGAATAAAGAACACTGAGTAGCTTGACCCTAGGCAAGTTACATCCCTCTAGACCACGAAGTTGCACCAATAGCCTCATCCACAATAGCCCGTCATAGCATCACCATCACCTTCATGAACTGGTTCTGGTTCACAATTTTCATTGACCCATTCATTTTTCCAATGAAATTCATCAAGTAAGAGTGGATTGAATCTCTTACCTTTAGAACCCAGCTCTCTATTTTTTTAAATTGTTTTTCATCTTGCGATTGTAACTGACATATACCAATTTATTTAACCTTTGGTGCTCTAATCGGTTTCTCTTTTTTGTATGGACCTACACAAAATATAATGCAGAATCACATATCAATATTACTACCATACTTAATTACTCAACAGTAGTACACTAGCACTTACGGTAGAAAATTCACTCCAACTACGCTCGCATCCAGATGCAGCGCAACAAAGGCTAACAATCTTTTTGCTAAACATTCTAACCCTAACAGGCCAAACTGCAAGCCCACATGTCCGCCCAGTTAAACAAGCCCAAAAATAGAGTAACCAAACTGGTCGTCCCTGTCCTAATCGGACGACTAATCGTGATTTCTCGTCAACTAATCGGACGATCTTTTCGGTCGAGCTAATCGAGTCGGACCTCCTAATCGAACACTAGGGACCGATTAGGACGAGTAATCGCAATTAATTGGACGACTTGAAAACAACATTGGTACTTACTACAAGTAACTAAAGCTCCTTGTATAGTTTAATCAAATCTGAAACTCGCTAACCAAAAATATCAAATGAGATATCCTAGTGCAAATATCCTGACTTAAATTTAAGGTAGCACGAGCAAACGTCCACTGAGGTTCTGTTTGGCACCACTCCTCCAACAGCTGCATGACCTGTGTGAAGCTGTTTTATGCCAAACCATTATTTTTAAAACAACTTCACATGTCATGTTGTTCGCAGAAGAGCATGAGTGACCGCTTTCTCCGTTCTCCCACTGCCGCCGGGCCCGTAAGAAGAGTGGGGGCGGCCTGAGAGCGGTAGTCATGGTTAGTGTGCTAAGGGCTTCTCCAGTGGGCTGTGGAAAACCGACTCATGGGCTGAGGTGGCAGCCCATGAGTCGACTCATCACCACTGGAGTACCAAGATGTCAGGAACCGATTCAAAATCTTGAGCCGATTCATGGAGAATAAACAAATATTTTGATACAGTACAACAACGGCCTACCTGCCAACAACCCAACCGTTACTCAACCCAACTAGCTAGCCGTTGTTCATTGCTCTATATATATGAACCTGCACGAGTAACTCCACAAAATACGCTTGCTCCCTCTCCCATTTCACAAAACACAAACATATATACAAATAAACTCTCCTCTCCATTTGAGAGAACACAAGTATGGACCCATCTTCTACTGGTGGCTTCACAAATTTGTTGAACTCTTCAACCTAAAGCCCAGAATTTCAAGGACCACGAAGTGGCTACAACCAGCAATATCCAAATTTCCCTCCACCTCATTTCGATCATGATTTTCGACCACCACCATATAGACCCATTCAGTCCCATTATCCACATCATTTCAATCCTTTTGGGGTTCAACTAGGATTTCAACAGTTTCGTGGAACATCAAGCTACCATGGTACTCCTTACCATGAAGGTTTGATGTAGTTCCAGCAAGGAAGTTTCAGAGCTGCTATGGCCTGTGATCCATCATCTCCGGTTGGATCAGGTGGCTTGTTCGGAGGCATTGGTGGTAGTGGTTCACGTGCTGATGAATCTGAGTCTCCCATTTCTGTTCCACAGCCATCACATGGGGTTCCTGTTATCAATGAAGAGCAAAGTGAGAGCAGTCTAGAGGAAGAAAATAAAAAATCTGGGCGCAGATTGTGGAGTAAGCCTATGAACCTAAGGCTAGTACGTGCATGTCTCAACAACTCCAATGATCCAATACAAGGCGTTGACAAGAAATATGATCACTATTGGAAAGATGTCGCCAAAGAATACAACAAGCATGCACCTAAAGAAGAGCGAAGGTCAGCGGCCGTGTTGAAAAATCACTGGAATAGATATCATCCTATAGTGATGAAGTTCAATCATTGTTGGAATAGAATGAAAAATGCATATGCTAGTGGTGAATCAGATGATCAAATAATGGTGAGAGCTCATGCAGTTTTCAGCAAAGAAAATTCAGACAAGCCATTCCTATTGGAATATTGGTGGAGAGAAGTGAAGGGGCAGCCTAAATGGGAGAGAGTGTACCCATCAATAGAGAATAAAAGGACAAAGTTAAATGCATCTGGAGTTTACACCTCTTCTTCAAATCAAGATACAGACGAAGTTAGTGCTGAAGTACATCGTCGCCCTATTGGCCAGAAGTACATCGTCGCCGTTGGATACATGCTGGTGGTTGTGTTCTCTACCACTATAAAAGATACATGCTACCTTAGAAAGCCTAACATAGATGACGACATTCAGAGATTGCTTCGAGTGGGGGAGGCTCGAGGTTTTCTGGGAATGATAGGAAGCCTAGATTGTATGCATTGGCAGTGGAAGAATTGCCCAGTGGCATGCATGGAAGGGGCAATTCACTCGTGGTGATTATAAAAAGGCCACCGTCATGCTAGAAGCTGTTGCTTCCCATGACCTCTGGATATGGCATGCCTTTTTTGGTACTGCAGGATCAAACAATGATATTAATGTGTTGAATCAATCAACAATATTCACAGAAGTGTTGCAAGGGAGAGCTCCAGAAGTTCAGTTTATGGTTAATGGCAATGAGTACAACATGGGCTATTACCTAACAGATGGAATTTATCCTGAGTGGGCGATATTTGTGAAATCATTACCTAAGCCTTTAAGTGATAAGGATAAAGTTTTTGCCATCAAACAGGCGGAAGTGAGAAAAGATGTGGAACGTGCATTTGGTGTCTTACAAGCTCGTTTTGCTATTGTAGGTAACCCAGCTGGGTATGTGGACTAGGGAAGCACTTTCTCAGATCATGTATGCTTGTATTATATTGCACAACATGATCATAGAGGACGAAAGGGATTCTTATGGGGCTCGCAATGATCACAACTATGATCAAACAAACTCCACTGCCTTGGTCAATTATCGTCACAGGCCCATTAACGAGTTTGCTACGATGCTCGAGATAAACACAGCTATTCATGACAGGTCTATGCATCGTCGCCTGAAGGCTGACTTGACAGAGCATATATGGCAAAGATTTGGAAGTACACAAGATCAGGATACAGACTAGTCTGTCTTAGAATAATCTATGTTCGTGTAGCACATTTTTCTATAGTGTTTTTTTTAATCCCAATTTATCTTTTCAATCTTATCGTGTACGCATTGCTCATAAGATGCAAAATAAGTGGTACTGCCCCATTTGGCACGGCTCATCCAAAACGGCTTCACCGGTGAAGCAAAAGCCGGTGAAGCCAGAAAAACTGCCTTTTCCCGGCTTAGTTCGTTTTAACCCCGGCTTACAAAACGGCTTCGCGCTATAGTGCCTCGATTTGCGTAAAATAGATGAAGCCGAAGCCGACCTCAGCCGTGCAGTTTCCATGATCCATTTTTTTTTTCTGTACCCAACTTTCAGATCGGATAAATCATTTTGGAAAAGAAACAAAAAATCCAAGATTCATAGTGTATGAGTCAAACGTTGGTATGCACGCATAAATCGAATTTAACAGATCGATGCCCGCCCACCAAAACCGTAACAGATCGACGGGGCAGCTCACCTCGACGCGGACGAGTGGAAGTGTCCTCCTGCGACAGCTGCGGGCGGAGCCTCGACCTCCATGTACGCAGCCGACCGCGACATCCAGCTGCTCCTTGAAGCAGCCCTCTGCTTGCAGTCCGCGCCTCGCCGCGCCGCCGCGGACGGGCCCCCCGTGCGCCGAGCTCGGAGCCAACCTCGTACGGCGGGTGGCTGGCCGCTGGAGTCGACTGAGGCAGAGGGAGGAGGCGATGAGAGAGGTGAGGTGCGCCTGATGCTGTCGCCGAATGGCCGAGATCTGGATGCGCCGCCGTTGCCTGCTCGTGAAGAATGATGCGGAAAGGAGACGGGGGATGAAGGGGACGGAAACTTCAACCAAGTCGTGCGAGTGGGCCGGGTCCAAAAGCCAAAGGGGTTTTTTTATTCACAATCAGATCATGATGAGTCGACAACCACTGGAGGATGAGCGAGTCGACTCGAAACTGGTGTACGTAGCCCTGATGGGTTGACCCACCAATGTGGGTGCCCTAAGAGACCAAAGAACAACGGTTGCCGCCGACGTCCAGGCCAAACTTCTCGGCCTCCTGGTCCGTGTCCATGACACGATGGACACGAGCTGCAGCCTGCTGGTGGCCGGCAGCGTCTCAAAGCCTCAAACAGAGCGGCGACAGATGGCGCGGCACAGGGGCACTATGGCAGGGCGCGCCAGCGTGGCTCGTTGGATTGGAGGCACCGCGCAAGGCATGGATAATAGTGGGAGAAATCAAGCAAGTCTGCAAGTGCCCAACAGTGCAGCGACATCGGATTTTGCAGTGCAGAGGCACTCCAGGCATCCACCACCGTGGCCGGATAGGAGCCGCACGCGATGGAGAAGCAGAGGCGTTCCAGCAGAGGCCTCGCACTAGCTGGATCTGATCCTTCTGGAGACGGCGGTAGCGTTGGCGGTGGCACTCTGCAGCATTCTGGCTCCACACCTCCATTGATGCGTCACACGGAGACCTGACGGCAGCCCAGCCGCCCTCATCCGCGCTTGCGCTCGTCGGTGCCGCGCCGTACTCAGTCAACGATTATACCTGTAATATGAATTTACTAACTTACCCTTAGCTCAATAATAAAAATTATTGAAAACTTAGTATAAAATTTCTTTGGTACCTCTATTTTTTTTTCTAGCCACTCTATCTCTCTACACCAAAGGTCCCCATTTTTCCTAACAATAATAAAATTTCTCAGCCAAGATATATCAACACGTGTCTTATTTTAGTTTCATTTTTCAGCAATATAATTCTCTTTGGGAGCGTACATAGACACATGTCTTATGACATTATTCTCATAAAAAAATTACATGGAGACAACGAGACTATAAGGATCATGTGCTATATGGTTGACCATGTTTGGTTTTGCCGTTTTGATGAATTGAATGGCAAGACAAACACTAGAAATAGCATGTCTGATAAGATGCATTAGACAAATTCTAATAAATTCTAGTGATGTAAGAGCAGAAGTGGCGCAAAGGGCGGCCAGAGGCTATCAAGCGCTCCCCGCACCGAACGCTCCCGCCGGTGGGCTAAGGCCAGCCCAAATGACAAGCCCCCTTATCCGCTCGTCACCGCAGCTTCTAAAAAAAAATCTGCACACAGCGCACGCTCCACCCACGCAGCTCGCAGCAACCGATCGGGGCGGAGGCCACCCACGCTCATCCCGTGCTCACCGCGATCACCCACGCTCATCTCGGCCGGGGAGGGGGCTGCACAGCTCGCAGGCCGGCTGGAGCTCTCCCGGGTGTAGCTCACCGCAGCCCGAGCGGAGCCCGCCCGCGCTCATCTTGCGCTCCGCCTGTCTAGCTCACCGTGGCTGGTGCGGAACTCGCCCGCGCGCAGCTTGTGGCAGCCGGGATGGAACTTGTCCACGCCCCCGCACAGTGTGGAGACCTGTCGCGGCCGTCTCCACCGGAGCGGTGAGCTCTACACCGGTGAACTCCACACGCCGACGAGCCTTCATTTTCCCAAGCAGTAAGGAGATGTTGCGTTGAAATCGCATATTGCAAGCGTATATTTCAAGTGTTTCAGATGTTTTAGAGGTATGTTACAAGTGTTTCATATGGATGTTGTAAAGTAGATCGGGATGTTGCACATGTTGCAATGGTTGAACACATATGTTGCAAGCGTTTGTTCTAAATATTTTATCTGTTTTTCAGACATATGTTGCAGGTGTGTTTATTTGGACGTTTCATATGTTTCACTCATATCTTGCAAGTATTTTATCTCTATGTTGCATACGTTTTGCAATGGTTTTTTGTGTGTTTTTTGTAAATGTTTCAGGCGCATGTTTCAAATGTTTCATTTATCTTCAGACGCATGTTGTAAATGTTTCATCTTGATGTTTCAAAAATAGATCGCGATTCTTCTTTGGGGACTCACCCGCCCTTTATTCTTCTTTGCTCTAGAACTGTACATCGAGGCACGGGAAGCGGAGGAGACGTGAGCGGTCCTCGCGTGAGGTCAGGTGGGCGCGGGCCCTGTGTGGGCGCGCGATACGGAGTGCAGGCGTGGGTGTCCGTCCGTCCGGATGTTCGGGCAGAGGACCTTGTGTTTCACTTTCTGTATACACTCATATCTCATCCATAGTAGCCTCTCTGTTCAATAACCTGTTCTGTTGTTGCTCGTCTTCGGAATTTCAACTGAATAGATATGCTTGGTTGTTGGATAATTGGAGATGGATATTTTAGGGCACGGGTATGGATGACCCCATTACTTTGTCAATGGCGCCGCTACTCTCAAAGAAAGAAGTTTCTATTGGGTAGAAGAAAGAAAAAGAATGTTTGTGGGCAGTGGCCACACGAAGAACGCTCCTTGAAAACATCCATCTTTGCGCCAAGAAAGCATGGCCTTGACGTGAAGCGAAGCAGAGTAGTAGAGCATGTGGATGTAGGTCCTGCCGCCCACGAATCCATGACCATGGTGGATGGCCACCGAGGAGCCAAACACATCTAAAGTCTTAGATTCTAGAAGGGTAGAAAAGCATGTGCCCGGACATCAACCAATTGTTTGTCCATATTTTGTTGAAACGTTTGCATCCGACATTGGCTGATTTAGGATCGGATCCACACATTTGTTTGGATGGATGCAGACTCAGCGCCTCTGTCGGACCCACTGGTTATTATAGCACAAAATCAAGGTTTATCGTCCCTTGTGGGTTTCTGAAAATGAGGTGAGATGGTGACCGCTGAACTTCTAGATGATAGTACTACGGATTAGCCCTATCCTATGTTGTGCAGCTGTGGTGTTTGTGACGCAGCATCAGCAGAATACTGTAACGGATTAGCCCTTGCCGCCGTGCGAGCGACTGCTGCTCGTATAAAGAATCCAGGGCGCTAGCCGCTAGGTCAATTTTTTCACCAATAAACAGCACACATCATGCACGGCATCAAACGGCACAATTCACAGTACATGGCGTGATGGTGACAAGCATAGCAATCAGAGATTGAATCGATGAACTTCTATACGATTATTAATATGTCGCAATCAGATCGATTTGATGAACTTTTGTATGATTATTATTTATTAATATGTCGCTCGTGGTTCGACTTGGGAGATGGACGCAGTCACGCAGACCTTTTTTTTCCCAGTGGAAAACAACAATTCTGTCTCTTGAAATGTTCAGAATTCAAAAACAGCGCGACACGTCTGCATTCACCACGCAAGAAGAGTATGCAAAGACACCGACATATATTAGTTATCTTCCAACCGCGTCCACGACCAGTCGGAATCACCCAAGAAGAAGAGTATGCAACGAGACAGACCAATCGCTTTCTTCTCATAGCTCGACTGCATTATTGCTGTGGTCATCAGCCTTATCTCGATCATGTCGGAGTATTAAGTTAACCTATCCTATCACAATCTCACATGGCCGCGCAAGTCATGCAGACACTACACATCCAGATCCAAAACAGAGGACGTCACATACCATACATTTCAACATTTTTACAGGCCGCAGCGGATGCGTGCAAGGCTGCGCTATGCTTTCTGAGAGCATATCGCTCGGCCACAAGTTACTCCAGTGGCTGCGGGTGCGAGGATCTTCGCGTTACCAACCAATCGGAAGATTCTGCGGCCCGACGGGGACTGCGGGGGCCGCACCAGCCGCAGACGTCGAAGATCTTTCTTCACATGTCACCACTCACCAGCACTGGTCAGTCTCCCAGGTCCGGCGGGAACGGTGCGCCGGGAACGAGGGCGAGCGTCCGAGAGCGACGGCGCGCCGTCCAGCGGCGGCGGCGGAGAGGAGGAGGCGGCGGTCGTAGTCGGCGCGCTTGTCGGGGTCGGAGAGCGTGGAGTAGGCCGCGTGGACGCGGATAAAGTCCTCGGCGGAGGCGGTGGGGTGCTGCGGGGCGGCGGCGTCCGGGTGGACGGCGAGCGCCAGGCGGCGGTACGCGGCCTTGATCTCCCGCGCGCTGGCCCGGGGGCGGAGGCCGAGGACGTCGTAGAAGGAGCTGGCCGCCGCGTGCCCCGCCGGCGCCGCGGTGGCGACGGTGGAGAAGGAGGCGGAGAGGGGCGGCGACGCGTGGAGGCGCGGGGAGGGCGGCGGCGACGCGGCTGGGGAGCCGGGCCGGAAGGCGAGGAAGCTCGGGGAGAGCGCGGGGCGCGGGGAGATCATGCTTGCTGGTGGGGTGGGGGTGCCGTGGGACGGGGAGGAAGGATTGGGGTTGACCGATGAGCCTGTAGCTGTAGGAAGCAGGAAGTGAGAGGCGAGATGGGGGCACTTTGGGCTTGCTGCCGGCTCCCCCGCTGTTTTATCGACTGTTTTATCGCGCGCGCGTCGCTTTCCGCCGCGGTTGGGCGCCGCTGGTCAACGTTCTCTGTGGGTGGGGGCTGCTCGTATTGGCTGCTGCGCCTGCGCTGCGCTGGATGACTTTTAGGGCTGGGCCTGGTTTAGATGGTAAGTTTTTTTATTTTTTTTTTATCATATAAATTTTTGATATATGTATGGAATATTAAATGTAGATAAAAAAATAACTAATTAAATAGTTTGATTGTAAATTACGAGATGAATCTTTTGAGCCTAGTTAGATCATGATTGGATAATAATTATCAAATACAAACGAAAATGTTATAGTGTCAAATACTAATTTCTAATCTCAATCTAAACAAGACCCTGGTTTAGTTTCCCAGAGAACTTACTCCATGTCTCGTCGTATATATATAGAGTATTAAATATATATTAAAAAATAACTAATTATATAGTTTATAACTAATTTGTTGAGACGAATATTTTAAGTCTAATTAGTTCATGATTTGATAATATGGTGATATAGTAACATATATGTTAATAACGGATTAATTAGGCTTAATAAATTCGTTTCACGGATTATTAATGGATTCTGTAATTTACTTTTTTGTTAGTATCCGAACGTCCCATGTGACACCTCATATAACACTCCAAAACTTTACACCCTACGTTTAAACAATGCCTTATTTTGGAAAATCGAGATCGAGGGAAGGGAATCTTATCAGCCGGCTTATCATCTAGAATCTATATTATTTTTCTTTCACAATAAATCAGCTTTAGTCGGCTTATCAGTCGACTTTAATACCAGCCGAACAGGCCCTTGGTGTACCATGCCATGGATGATGGACGGATATGATTTTGAAATAAGTGTACTGGAAACCGTCTGCTGCAAGGCATGGGCATGGACGCATTTAACCCCATAAAAGTTATTCGGCCTGTCCGTTGGTTGATTTTTGGGTTAATAAGCTCGACTGGTGCTGATTTGGTGTGAGAGAAAAATATTGTTGTCTAGCTGATAAGCTCTGGCTAAAACCAACAAGCGAATAGGCTGATTAGCTCCAGAGATGGAAGACGTGCCCACGTTGGCAGAGTTTTTTTTGACCGTTAGATCTCCCAATCTGACGGCCTAGGCCCCAGCAAGAATCTTCGAGAATTAGCTTTGGATTACACTAGCCCTATTCGCTTCTCTTGTAATCGTCTTTTTCAGCTTATTTTTTTAGCTGGAACAATATTTTCTCTCACAACAAATCAGCCGGAACAGTATTTTAGCTTGTTTTTTCAGCGAAGCGAACGAGGCCACTGTGCGCTTTCTCCACCTTCTCCACCAACTCCTTGTGTTACTACCGTTCCTTCCTAGCTGCTCTACAGAATCATAGCTCCCAAATATATAGTCAGGATTCCAGCTTCTTCCGCACTCGGCCCAGAGCTCTTCCCGATGGGATATTTAACTTTTTACCATTATAACGGATGTCATCTCTTCAGATAGCACTTTTAAAATTGCTCCTATATATTTACCATCGAGAGAGAGCATTTGATATATTCTTGTCATTTTTGCTGATGTGGCACGCCATCTCGACCTAACAGCATAGACCGGCCACGAGAAATAATATTTTTGCCCCTCATCTATTTCTTCTATCTCTATCCCTTCCTCGCTCAAGCTCCGGCCATGGCCGACGATGGGGTCTATGGCGGCGACTGACAGGACATAGGGGATGTTGGGGGCAAGGCAGCCGGGGCCACGACCTGTAGGTCCACGGCCGTGCCCGACGCCGGTGACGAACATGGCGGCACCTGGAGCACGCGTAGGAGCACGGCCTCCTCGGCGCCGGCGACGAACATGACAGCCCCATGCCTCCTCGTGCTCGTGCTCCTCTGCTTCCTCGCCGGTGGAGGACGCGCATCCCCAACCACAGACAACCTGCTTCGCGTCTCTTCGTGCGTGGTCTCTGCCGGTACCAGCGATCCAGCTTCCCCGGCGACGACGAACATGGTGGCACCTCGCCAGACCTAGGAGCTCGCGTGGCCAAAAGTGGAGGAGCCGGATCTTGCGTGCATCGCCGGGGATGGGGGAGCAGCGACCGGAAGGGGAGGAGCTGGACCACACGCGGTCGACCATGGGGGAGGCACGCCGGGGATAGGGACGCACACGCGGTAGAGCCCACGCCCGCGGTAGAGCCCACGCGCGGTGGATCTCATGCCTGCGTTCGCCATCAGAGCATCGCTGCTAGCTGGGGTGGTGCGCAGACCTTGCGCTTGTTGGCTTCATCTGCTGCTGCTTGCGTCTGGGAGGGAGGAGGAGGCGGAGCTGAGAGGCGCGTAGGCCGGGATGCATCTTTACCAAGTGATGAGGATGAGACGGACGAAGAAGAAATAGATGAGGGTAACAAAGTCATTTTGCACCCCACAGACATGCTAGCTTCCCTACGTGTCTTACCACGTATGCAAAATGGCTTAAAGTTATGAATTCATCTCTCTTGATGGTAAGTATGTAGGAGCAATTTTAAGAATGCTATGTGAAGAGCTAACAAAAGTTTAAATATCCCCTTCCGATGGTTCTCTTCCTGACCCCTACGTCTTCCCGCACCATGGCGCCTTTGCGGCTCTCGACGCCATCTTCCCTTCCTCTCTCTCTCCTCTCCCTCTCCCTCTCCCTCGATGTTGTGGCGTGCCTACGGACCCAGCGTCGCCGCCTCACCGCGTGGCGTGCTGCTTGGGCGATGGTGCCGCCGGTTTGGTGCGTGGCGGTGCACGTGGACCCCGGCGGTAGCCGTCCCCGTCACGGCACGACGCTAGAAGGCACCGTCAGTGGCCGCCAGCGTGGCTGCCCCATGGCGCTGACTGCTCCCACTGGTCCGCGCTGTGCTTAACGACCACGAGCTGCTCCCAGCGACGTGACCGCTCGGATCCTCAGCAGTAAAGCTCTATTCTTTAATACCAACCTTGTAGAACATCTCAATATATTCCTTGTCGGGGACCAAATAATGGGGTACCCAAAGAGGAGGAGCTAATAACCATCAAATGTTGATGCTTCCGAAAAGACAAGAACGCAACTACACTTTTTGCCCAAGACCGAAGGTTGGCTCCGCCTCACCCGACCCCCGAGGGCTGGACTCTGCCTCGACCGATGTCTGGAGGCAGACTCTGCCTCGCCCGACGGCTGAGGGCTAGCTCCACCTCGTCCAACATCTAGGGGCAGACTCTGCCTCGCTCGATGTCCGAGGGCTGGCTCCGCCTCGCCTGACCCCCGAGGGCTCGACTCTGCCTCGCCGACATCTGGGGGCAGACTCCGCCTTGCTTGACGACTGAGGGCTGGCTTCGCCTCACCCGACGTCCGAGGGCTAGCTCCGCCTCGCCCGACGTCCAGAGGCAGACTCCGCCTTGCTTGACCCCCGAGGGTAGACTCCGCCTCGCCCGACGTCTGGGGGAAGACTCCGCCTCGCCCGACGTCCGGGGACAGACTCCGCCTCGCCCGACGTCTATGCGCTACTCCTTCATAACTACACGTGTAGATAAGGCGGGGCACTCAAGTCAATAGTAATACCGAGGACCATACCCTGCACGTCTGTAGGAAAGTACCATCAGGATATGATAAGATGGGCGTTTTAAGCCCTTCCAGGCATGTCAGAGCCCAAACAACATTGTGGGCGTCGACATTTGTCTTACAGTGTTATGGGCGCCGGCATTTGCCCTCGGACATGAATCCGGACGGGGACATACGACAACCACTACGGTCTAGGAAGAAATTCATGTCATCTACAGTAATGAACGTGGGGCCTCTACGCCGTCTGCTCCCCGTAGGGTCACGATTCGGCACCCTGGTGCGTCGCGCCGCCCGCCGGGGCAGGATGGGACATGACCACTTGCTAAATGAAGCCAGAGCACTGCCATATCAGGATCAGCGGACATGCTATCCCTAGCATTGTCTGTCGTGTCGGGGGACTTCGCTCAGAGGAAAAGGAGGACCCGGCATCGTTGAAGGATCTCCTTGGCCTCTGGTTTTTCTTCCTTCTCTCATTAGTAAATCCCTGCTTTTCTTGGTCTATAAAAGGGGAAGGCAGGGCACCCCACTAAAGGGACGGATCGATTCAACACATCACATATAGCTGAGCAGCGTCAAAGCTCTCAATACCCGTTCGACCTTTCCATCGGAGACTTGGGACCTGTCCCTTTCTCATCTGTTTGTACCTTCCTACTACGAACCTTTTAGTGCAAATAACACGAGCAGCAGCCGTGAACTGAACGTAGGGACGTTCTACTCAAATCGAGGCCGTGAACTGGACATAGGGACGCACAATAATACAAATTTACTAGTTGGTGTTTACTCAAAACACCGACATTCCTCAACAATGAAGTTCTATTCTTTAATACTAACCTTGTAGAACATCTCAATATATTTGATTGGACAGTTAACAAGTAATGTGGTCATTGAATTATTGGTCTCACAACAATTTATGTACAGTTAGTCAGTTTGCTAATGGTCTTTTGTGGATCTTGTGTAGGTGCAATTTTTACCTGACTATGGTGTATAAATCGACTATTCAATTCTTCTGCTTTTATTTCAAATTCAGTTTTTTGTACCCTATATATCTAAATATCTGCCAAATTTTGATTGTAGGTGTGTTCCTCAGTTTATGAATTTTGAAACTTTGATTTCACTTTGAGGCAGTTCATGTACAATTTTTTTATTGCACTATGCGATGTGCAACCGAATAAGACCTAAATGAATAGCGTAGAGCATCGACCTCGCTCCATCTGTTCTAGCACGAGTTAATACATGATTCCATTTGTTCTGACTAATTTTATGTGTTCCGCCTAATTTATGTAATTGTTTTTTTGTGTGCACAGGTTGTGCTGAATCTACTTCCTTTGCAAAGCACTGTTGCTGCAGGTATATATATATATATATATATATATATATATATATATATATATATATATATATATATATATATATATATATATATATATATATATATATATATATTATATATGTTGAGCCTTTGTAAATATGCTCATTTATTGCTGAATGTTAAATAGCTATTGCACTTATTTGGGGACTTTTATACCATACACAGTACTGTGAAATTTGTTTAATTTTGCTTGCAAGATAATCCATTTTGTTTTTTCATGTTGTCCCATTTCAACACATTATGATAGGATAGTTCCTGCGATTAATTGGTTCAGAGCCTTTTGAAACCAATTTTTCTGATAGTCTGCTACTTTTTCTTTTTTATCATTTTTGACTGATCCTCCTCCCTTTAAAATATGATGTCAGATGAAAACAGTGCAGACTAAAAGGTGTCCGCGGAGAAAACTGTGCTAGGGACGGCAAGCACAAGGTGATTGATTTACAGGTTGGCAACTTGCTTAATGCCTCATTTGTAGTCAGGAATGATTCTTTTCAATGCATGGTGTTCATACTAAGTACAAAAAATTCAGTCTCATGTCATCTAACAGTGGGGGCTTCCCCTGCTGTTTTCCTGGTTAGAAAAAAAAGGGTTCTGTTTTGATTCCTTATAAGTTACCTTATGTTACCAGAATAGGATGTTGTTGGACTACTTTGTGATATTTTAAAAAGTAATGTTGTAAATTTGCTAGGGTCTGCTCATTAGCTATTCAAACCACAGTATTTCAAATGAACAGCCTGTTCGGTTGGCTGGTTCGTTTCGTTGCTGGTTCGTGAAAAAGTATCGCTGGCTGGTTTATGTGAAAGAAAAATACTGTTCCGGCTGGAAATTTGCGATCGTTTACGACAAGCCACAGCCTAACGAACAGGCTGGAAATTAGGCTCATTATTTGATCATTGTTAACCAGAAATAGAAGTACGACTATCATGTTAAAAAATCCTTTTCCCGCTATAAAAAAGGACCATCTGCTTAGCATACTAATACTATCTAGGATATGTTAATTTTAGTGTCTGCAATTCTAGCTTCAATGCATTTTTTATTGGAAGTTGTCCTGAATGTAAAGCTACAGGGAAAAATAGATAGTGGCTTAATATCCCAGAGGAAGCACAATGTTCTTAAAAATGACAACTGTCTTGCTGAATTCAGCCGCAACGTCCTTACTTGGTGTTTCTATCACATGGTTAATAGTTTTGGTCTTGTCCTGCTACCATTCTTCTATGGTCTTTCCTGAGCTCACATATGTTTCCTATGAATCATGTGTCTGAATTGCTAATATGTCCATGCTTTGGTTGCCATGTAATGAAAATATATCTCTTTGTTCCGTCTTTGCGGATCTGTGGCATTAGCAAAGCATTATTCTTCCTTTTATGTTGCAAAGTGATCTTTACTTTTGCATATTCATTTACCCTTCTCTTTTATCAGATGTGATTTGCCAATGTACGTTGAATCTTAGCCTTCTCTTAGGCATCCACTGAACCAAGGTATTTTTATCTCCTTTAATTATGAACTCCCTTTCTGTAGCTATCAATGCACATTGCAACACTGTTAATCTTCTGTCGTTGCCGGTGTGGGTTTGCTTACTAGTGAACAGATCAGGCTACTAAAATTAGTATCCAAGATGTTTTTCCCTGCGCATGCCGCATATTGTTTGCTAGAATTTTGTACTACATATGTTGGATTCTTGAAAACTGCAATACTTTGCTTGTTACGCAATAAATTATTAGTCCATACTTAGTTCATCAGACGACCTCAAATTTATGTTTGAGTTACGCAATTACATGCTTTCCAGTCGACTTTGAGCCTAAAATAAATTGTTACTCCATAAATAATTAGCCAATCCTTCTGCAACCAAACAGTTCTGCATGAACTGCTAATTTAGCAATGCAATTTTAGGGCTCTGCAGCCTCGGCTTATTCTTTTTTCTGGTGATGCAAATTTATATCTATTTCTATGCACTGGGTGTGTTTTTCTGGTTGAATGGGCGGCCTAAAGTCACTGCACATGCTTCATAGAGTACCGTTCACGTAATCAAAACCAATTATTAATCAGTTCTTAGCTATTTCATTTTTCTAACACAAAAAACAATATTCAGGAGTTGACCAGTTGAGTTGTTTTTAAAAAAAATGAATATTGTTTTTACATTTCCAGTGCATACAGAAAAGGCATTAATGCAGACTTGGAATCTCATAAGCCATTGCAGCGTCAAACGAAACATATTTGAATGTCTGGCAAAACATATTTTAATAAGTATAGATCAAAGAAATCTATGCCTAATTTGTATGCATGTATACAAGTTAGTCCGGAAGGGATGCATATGTTTGCTGGATTAGTTTTTTAATTCGGTGCTGAAACTCGAAATGTTCAGAACTCTGCACTGGCGCCATAATTTAGACATATAATCAGTTATAACTAATCTTAGTTTGTTCCTGTACAGCGATGCGCCTCAGAATTTTTCCATGCCTGTATCACTATGTTTTCTCATTTGGGGCTAAAGCAAACTCGGGTTCCAGCTTATGAAAATAAGTTGTTGGTGGTCTGGTGGAGGATTTCGCAACAACAAAGTGAAAAATCCATAAATGAAAGGTATGTGCTACTCTCCATTATAATTCTTCACAAGCTCTTATTTCGTAAAGTTCCTGTCAGCGTCACATGGCCTTCTTACGAATTCTCCGTTCTTGAGATCATCAGGTTGTTAGGCTTTCGGCGCAAGCTAGAATGACATCGTTAATAACATGTCAAGCTAGCCCTTGTGAAAAAATCAGCTCTCCAGAAAGTGGTTAGTGACACATCTGCTTTTTCTTTATCTTCTACACAGTTTTTCTTATTTTGTTATGACCTTCCATTTGCTTGAAATATTACGTGGTTGCATAAAATAGATATCCATAAACAACCCTCAAAGGGACCTTCCTGATCTGGTTGGTACCAAGATTGAGGAGCCTAAGAATGGTTCTAATGTGTTTTAAGGAGTCATGTTCTAATGGTACCTTTTAAAAAAGCGATGAGAATAGCAATTTAAGATTCTGCCTTACTGCTATGGTAACCTCTAAAAAACGATAACTTTAGTGCTTTAGGCTTGCGCATTACTGCCTCTGTAACTTATTGCTCAGCAATGTTACAACTCTTCTGATGTCGTTTACACTTCCAGTGACCACACATTCCATATGTACTTATCCCTATGCAGGAGGCGACTTATAACCCTATTATTGGCCTACTCTACAAAAGCCTAATCTCTAAATTTAATTTGCACAACCTTACCGCTGTTGTAGCCGTTTACTTATCAACATCATCAGCCTCACACCATGTTTACATCTGTGCAGACACTTCTAACAATTCCTCAATGGACACCTCAGACGACGACAATCAAGGCTGGGAATTCGACCGCAGCAACACGTCCCACTGATCGTTCCTACAGCTACCTCCAAGTGTAGAAGAGGCTCCAATAAAGTTGCATAGTTACTACAATCCCCACTAGACGCTGCTGCATCTACTTGCTCCTAGCCTTGTATTATAGTTCAACCCGATGAACTGTAATGCTTTGGTATACCTACCGTACTACGTGGTTTAGCAAACCAGGTCTTTCTTTGTATATATGTAGACCCAAAAACATGTGCTGCTAAACTCCTGCCAAGTACTATACAGTTAGCTCCATGTATAATATCTGTATAATTATGCTTCAACCCGCAACTATATTAGTCCATATTATGCATGCCATGCAATGCCGAGTATACATTTCTGTGTCTTTGAATTTGTGCCCGCATTTGCGCGCGATGGCACGCACCCTGCCACTAGTGGTCTCTAGACTCCATCACTCCTTCCGGCACTGGAATAATCGGAGGGACAAGAATGGCATTTTCAGCTAGCATCATCACGCCTCCAAAAAATCAAACTCCCAACTTGCTGCCATCTTGCCATTGGAAGGACGAAAAGGCTGCGTTGACTTGGAGAAAACTCGGTCAATGTTATTAGAATGTACTATAACTGTTCCTTACAATCTAAAATTATGTGTTACCTTTACTATCATCGTATCTATTTTTTTCTATCCCTTACTATATGCCATTATTCTCATTTTTACCAAAAATTGATTAAAAGGTTTGCGTGTTTTTTTTGGTGCAAATCTTCATTTGTACCCCTTCAACCTCCACCTTCCTTCGTCGGGGTAGGATACAAGCAGGGGCGGATCTAATACAAAACAGCACATAACACTCACCTTCCTTCGTCGGGGTAGGATCCGCGAGAGCAGCGGACCATTGGTGACATGTGGTTTTGCGGAGATAAGTAGACCTCTCACGACCTTGTTGGACTAGCCCATGAAGCAATTACAACTGATCAGCATAAGCCAAGCCATTTTGTGGAGGCAAACTTATATAAGGTTATGGTAATTACCCGCCACACCTATAAGTCTGGGTGTTTGATTGGTTGGCCTGTGGGCTATCCAGGCTTAACCGATACTGATACATACATGCCTAGCATGTTTGATTAGTTGACTGATCCCAAGCTAGGCCCGTCTATGCGGTGGAGGCTTCATAGCCTACCTTCACTAGAACAAGGAAATCAGACACGACTTGGCGTGGAGTACGTCCCTCCTTCTATGGCTCTGCTTGTGTACTCTTTATTTTGTTGTATCTATACTAAAAGAACAAAATACCACCAAACTTGTAATAAATGCATATGAAAACAAACTATTTGTAGGACATTTTATAACATGTCATTATTCAAACAAAGAATTAACATATTTATCACACAATAGAAACTGTGTCAATACAATATGAATTGTGCACGGTATGCTCCTAGATAGGGATGAAATGAGACGATACAGGCAGGAAACCCCCTCGCCCGTTTCTACCTCTTTTTTTTTGCAGAAATGAGACCGGGTTTGAAGGGAATCGGGATATGTAGACATACAAAAACTGGTAAATACGACCGGAGAGCCAAAAAATAAGTTAGGATCACGTGATATAATATTCTCAAGTATACATGTGAAGTTACACAACAATATACACATATGAAGATTGGTCTAATATTCTCTTGGATGTTATGTGTGTTGACACACTAACATGCATAATTAGTGATTAGTAGGTGTATTAACACAACACAAGAACATATAATTGCTAGTCATATTTCATATAGATTGGAAATAGGATGAAAAGGGGATAAACATGGGTTCTTCCGGGTGAAAACAAGATCTTGCAAATACGAAAACGGAAGTAGCAAAATAGAAAATGGAACAAGACGTGACATAAAATTTTCGTCTGTTTCCATCCCTACTCCTAGAGGATGTTTGATTGTCAAACATTGTCTTGTCTTACTAGCTTAAGCGAGGCAAACCTTGTCAAGTTAGGAGAGAAGAACCGGCTCCCCACCCAAGCAAGGCAAAAACCTGCTAACATAGACTACGAGGTGAGCTAGCCAATTATCTAAAACACGAGGCATGTTTGGTTCTTTTAGCAATCTTGCCTTGCCAGACCAAACAAGCCATTTCCACTCTCTTGCTTTGGCAAAAAAAAAAAAAACCCCCTAGCCAACACAAGCTCTAAGGTGCTCTAGCTAGGTATTCAAACTAGTATCACCCTTCCATAACCTTGCTTGGTGAGGTCACCTAGTGTCTGGCAAAGTAACCAAACTTGCCCCACATATCCAGCTTCCGAGCATTTTGTTTAGTAAGGCAAAGGATATTTTTGATTCGGTTTCAGCTCTGAGCGTGTTTAGTTTCAGGAAGTTGGAATTTGGAGTTACTGTAGCACTTTCGTTTTTATTTGGCAATTAGTGTTCAATCATGGACTAATTAGCCTCAAAACGTTCGTCTCGTAATTTTCCACCAAACTGTGTAATTAGTTTTTTTTCGTCTACATTTAATGCTTCATATACGGGCCACAAGCATTCGATGTGATAGGTACTGTAGCACTTTTTAAGAATTTAAAGTGAAACTGAACACACGCTCTATCGTAGCCTAAGCTAAAACCTAATAAGTCCATCTCACCAAAAGGAGCAGAGCCACGCTAGGAGGCACATTTGGTGTACCTCCTGCTTGCTTGGATTTCGATTTCTTCATGTATTGTAGTTATACTATAATAACTTTGGGCTGTTCTTATCTCTTCTAAAATAAACTAAAATATTTTTTTTTATTTTCTTCTAAAATAAACTAGAAGTCAGTAAAATTCTTATTCAATATCTTACTTTTATGAGCACCAGCTTCATAATATATCTCTACTATAATAGACCAATTAAAATTATACTAGGTTTCTATGAAAAACGTCCCCAGCTGAAAGCCTCTAACCATTGTATAAAAAAAATACACACATAAATTCGTCTCTATTAAAATTAAGGGCTAATAAGCCCTTGTTTAGTTCCCCAAACTCCCAATTTGACACTATGCAAAAAGAAGATTCTCCGTCACATTAAACTTACGGTACATGTATGAAGTACTAAATGTAAACGAAATTAAAAACTAATTGCACAGTTTGGTTGAACTTTACGATACAAATCTTTTGAGCCTAATTAATCAATATTTAGACAATAATTCACAAATACAAACAAAATTGCTACGGTGTTTACCGTCACACTAACTACTGTGCAAATAACGATTCGGCCACGAACTAAACGCGGCCTAAAACACCCTGACCAAATCCAACGGGCACTGTTCGATGTGTAATGGCAGGCTTCAAACGCCCGTGCATCTCCCACGCCCGCACGCGACGCGACTGTAGTCACGGTTCGATACCTCTCCCTTCCGCCGCAAGATTCACCAGGGCTCTCGCCTCTCGGGAGCGATGGCGGCGCAGGTGACGCCAGGCAGGCCGAGTTCGTGCACGCGCTCAAGGCCGGCGGCGGCGCATCCAAGGCCGACGTGGACGCCACGATCGAGGCGCTGAAGGCGCTCAAGGTCGAGGCCGGCGCCGCCGCGCGCTGGCTGCAGCAGGCGCTCGGGGCGGCGGGTGGCGCGGCGAGGGAGGACCTGCGGCAGGCCTTCTTCTTCTCCGGCAGCGACTCCGTCCGGCGGCTGGCCTAGGTCAGCGCAGCTCCAGCCCGGGCGGCTCCTGGTGCGGGTGGCCCACCGAGCGACAGCCCCAGGACGAGGGAGCCGAGGTCGTCGTCCTGGGGGAGCGGCCCTCGGCACGGCGGCGGCATCGACCTAGGTCAGGCTTCGCCCCCTTCATTAAATCTCCTCGTTATCGCAGCTGCAGCGGTCGCCGGGGCCTCCTACCGAAGGTGCCCCCCTCTCCTAGGGAACTCAAGAAGATTCGTCAGAGGTGTTTGTGATTCTGTGATCTGATACTTTACAATTTGCTCTGTCTATTTCAGATGATGTTATTGTTTGATCATTGTATGTTCTGTAATGCCTAAACTTTATACCATGCAGTCTGCTATCAGTCCTGATGGAACGGCCGCAAGACGGCGGCCTCGGTGGAGATGGCGGCGATCCGCGCAGCATCACCGAGCGGGTTCGTGCCCTGCGACCAGCACCAGCTGCATTCCTAGCTGCTACTCTTAAATTCTCGCTTGGTTTCTCAGTCCAATCCAAAAAAAAGAAAGAAAGGAAAAACTTGAAATTGATTCATGTCATTGTCGTTGTCAAGTGAGGAGGATGAAGATCAGCGAGCGGATGCGGAAGCTGCAGGAGCTCATGCCCAACAGTGAAATTTCACAATATTTTTTTCCCTTTCCACCCCTGATTGAACAGAACAGATTGAACAGAACAGCGCAAGGTAGACAAACTGATGACCGGTTATTGTGCGTCTGGTTTTATTGATGACTGCAGCAAACCAACACTGCCGACATGCTGGATCTGGCCTTAGACTACATCAAGGATGTTCAGAAGCAGGTCAAGGTATATGCCCACATCCAAAAAGCGCTCTTTTCTACAGAGTGATTTGGGTTATTTTTCTCCTTCCTGAAGAACTATAATTGCACATACATGGCTTAATTTTATATTGCAGAAATTGCTCCTAATTGCCAATGATATTGCTGGTTATAACCCTGGGAGGCTTATCATGTCTTCAAAAGTTATTGAATTTATCTTTAAGCCAAAACCGATAGGTCGGATTCTGAAACTCTTTTCCTGCTACTGTTATTCATAGTAGTGCCATAAATATTCTGTGATGTTGCCCGTGGATATAAAACAATGTTTATAGCTACGTTCTCCAAACTGTTGTTTGTCCTTTATTATACTCTTAACTTTTGATTTCACTCACCCACTATGAGCTAGCAGCTAGGTACTGATCTAGGATCAACCAATAGCTGACATGAACCTGAAACATGGTAGATGTTGAAGTATAAGAGAGAATGCATATGAATCTTGGCTTCTAACTTTTTATTTAGTGTGTGGTACAATATTTCAGGTGGGAGATATACCTTAGTGATTAATCGAGTGTATGTTATTCTTCTAAACATCGACATTAGTTACTAGCGCACTTTGTAGTTACTAATAGTTTTATACTTCAGTAGCTAAGCAAGCAGGTTGAACTACACTTGCCACTCTTGGTGTGTCGTCAACAGCTTGTGGTCTCCTGTCCAGATATGCTAACAAACACATATTTTTTTGTTTGTTTGCTGAAAGTTGAAGATCCACTTTAGAAAGGCACTGACTTCTATAATTAAGGTTCCATCCTGGAGGAGGATACATAGTACCAGCTTATCGTTGTTGTCCGGTGTGTCGTATACATGTGATCCGGTGTCATGGTTAAAATTGTTTTTTTAACGGTTAAAATTGTTGTTGTTGGTACATTGGGTTGCACATATTGATCTTTTGCAATCCTATTTGCAATGTACATGGACAATGTCTTCTGTACAAGCGGGTGGGGAGGAAATTGTTAGTCGTTGAATTCTCACTCTTGGTAGTAGCAGAATTCTTACTCTCATCGAGAGAGGATGACACTAGGAGTTGGGACAATTTTCTGGTTTATTTCTCAATGTCATGCCAACCTGAGGGGTTGGGGATACATATTTATAGGCTGCTAGCCAGCCAAGCATATGTCAAGATGCTAGTCTAAGATGCTAATATGCTGTCCTCTAAGATGCTGTCCTGAGATGCTGTCATAGAGTCTAAGATGCTGTCTTAGATGCTGTCCTTCAGTCAAGGATGCTGTCCTTGATAACCACCATGCAGCAGCCCCACAAAGACCAGCCCCACAAAGACTTATCCATCATTCAAGATGCTAGTCTAAGATGCTAGTCTAAGATGCTAATATGCTGTCCTCTAAGATGCTAATATGCTATCCTCTAAGATGCTATCCTAAGATGCTGTCCTAGAGTCTAAGATGCTAGTCCTAGATCTTTGTCCTAGATGTTGTCCTTGACCAAGGATGTTGTCCTTGATAACCACCATGCAAAGAGTGACCCACAAAGACCAAACCCCACAAAGACTTATCCATCATTCCCCCCTAAGTCTTGTGTCGTCGTCTTGTGGGAGAGTTGAACCATCCCGGTCCTCGAAAGCAGAGTTCAAGGAACTTGATCTTCCCAAGGGTTTTGGTGAAAGCGAGTCCGCAAGTTGGTCCTTGGTGTTGATGTAGCTTGCCCTAATGCTCCCTTCCTCCAAATGACCTCGGATGAAGTGGTACCTCACCCGGATGTGCTTTGTCTGCGTTCATGGAAGGCGGAGTTCTTTGCGAGGCAGAGCGGACTTGTTGTCCACCCCGAGCTCCACCCGCTCCAGTGTCCCCGCCGAGGAGATCACCAAGCAAATCGAGCGAGCCAGAGGCTGAGTCGAAGCGGTGGAGGCTGCTATGTGTACTCGGCCTCGCGGTGGGACAGAGGCCACCACTGGCCGCTTGATTTGACCGCCTTGCCTAACGAGGCACTTGCCGAGGAAGAAGAGGATCCCGCTCGTGCTCTTCTTTGGTGTCGATGTCGCTGGCGTGGTCGGCCATACCCAACGAAGTGTGCCGCCTGAGGCACCTCGGGTAGTAGAGGCCGTGGTCGAGAGTCCCCGCAACGTAGCGGATGATCCTCTTCATGACTTCTTTGGTGCTCTCGCGTCGTCGGTCATTGCATGAACCGACTAACGAGCCGACGGAGAATGCCAAGTCCGGCCGTGTGTGGGCGAGGTAGCGAAGGCTCCCCACAAAACGCCGCAGATGCTGCGTGGCGTCCACCTCCTTCGTCGTCTTTGTCGCGGCTCGACTTTAGCCTCTCCTCCATCGGATGAGAGAGCTGGGTTGCGATCGGTGAGCCCGGCTAGCTCAACGACACGCTTGGCATAGGCGGTATGTCGAGCGTGATCCGAGTCATCTGGTGCACCTCGATTCCCGTGTAGAAGGAGAGAGGCCCTGGTCACTCATCCGGAAGGTGGCCTTCATCTCTTCCTTGAATGCCGCCACCTCCGCATCCTTGGTGCCGGTGATCACCAAGTCGTCGACGTGAGACACCCACCGCCAGGCATTTCCTCCTTGCGCCCGTCGGTAGATGGGCGCCTCGTCGCGGGCTTTGCTCAAGCCCATCCCCTTTAGCGTGGAATCCGACTTGGCATTCCACGCTTTCGGTCGCCGCAAGCCATAGAGGGCCTTGCGCAGGGAGCACCTGCCCTCCTTGCCGGGGATCGCAAATCCGTGGGTGGTGCGTGAGACCTCTCCTCCTTCAAGTCGCCGTTAAGGAACGCCGACTTGACGTCCATGTGATGAACACGCCAGCCCTCCTGGGCAGCTAGCGCAAGGAGGAGTCGCACGGACTCCATCCGTGCCACGGGAGCAAAGGCGTCGTCGAAGTCGACCCCCTCCTACTGCACGAAGCCTCGTGCCACCAAGCGAGCCTTGTGCTTGACGATGGCACCGGCTTCATCCCTCTTCAGCTTGTACACCCACTTAAGGGTGATCGCGCGGTGACCACGAGGAAGGTTAGCAAGCTCCCAGGTGCGGTTCTTCTCAACCGCATCCATCTCCAACTTCATCGCGGCGCGCCATGCCGCGTGTCTCTCGGCCTCTGCAAACGACCGAGGCTCGCCGTCGTCACACGCAAGGTGCAACTGCGCCTCCAGGTCGTGTGGCACCGGTCCCGGCACCGGCTGGTCGCCGAGAAGGTTCTCCATCGTACGGTACCGCAACGGCTCGCCGTCATGGTACGCGTTGACGCGCTCCTCGTCGTGAGAGAGTGGAGTAGCGAGCTCAACCGGGCCGTGCTCGACACGAGCTGGTGGTGGGGTAGACGTGCCCGGAGTGGTGTCTGTCGGTGCTGGAGTGCGTGGCGTTGCCGGCTGTGGTGGAGCCGGCGAAGAACTCATCGCAACCGAGGTCCTGGCTGGAGAGCGTGGTGCTGTCGGAGTAGCAGGCGCCGGAGTCGGTGGAGGCTCGGGGACTGGGGTAGACGCGCTCGCCGAAGAAGAGCTGCCTACTCCCAAAGCTCCCTCGAAGTGGACGTACTCGACAGTGAAGTCGTCGTATGTTGGAGCCGAGCCGTCGTCCACCGCCTTGTCCCACGCCCATCCTCGCCCTTCGTCGAACACAACGCGTCGCGCCGCGCGCGACACGCCGTGTCTTGGTCGAGGATGCGGTAGGCCTTCGAGCCCTCGCGTAGCCGATGAACACTCCCGAGTGCTCACGCCGTCGAGCTTCTTGATGTGGCCAAGCTCCTTGGCTTGGCGAGCGCGAGGCATTTGAAGACCCGCAAGTGGGAGACCGCCGGCTTGCGCCCATGCCAAGCCTCGTCTGGCGTCCTGCCGTCGCGAGCGCTTTGGTAGGCGGCGGTTGAGGATGTAGAGCGACCGTCACCACCGCCTTCTCCTCGAGAAGGATACCGGCATCCCCTCGCTTGAGGAGGGCCCGAGCCATCCCCACAACCGTCTGGTTGCGCGCTCGCCGACGACGCCGTTCTGCTGCGGGATGTACGACGCTGAGTAGTGGCGCTGAATGCCCTCGTCGTGATGATGCACGCGATTCAAATTACCGCCGTTGTGCGGCATTACCAAGACGCTTCTGCGGCCAAGACTCGCCTAGACTTGACATGGCGCGATGGCGTCCGCATGACCTCTCAGCCTTCTCCTTGCCGCCGAGGACCATCACCCACATGTAGCGGTAG